TGGCTGAGAAGGCATGGCATGGTAGTAGGAGCAAGAACCTGGCTGGTTACATTGTCATCCGTGCACAGGAAGCAGAGCCTGAGAACGGGAAATGGGATGAGGCTATAAACTTATCAACGCCCGCCCCCAGTGATGTACTTCCTCTAACAAGGCTCCACCTCCTAAAGGTGTCATAACTTCCCACTAGAGCACCACAAAGTGGGGCTCAAGTGTCCAGATACATGAGCCTCTGGGGGGCATTTCTCAGTCAAACCACCACAGCTACGAAGCCAGCTGGGGACTTGAAGGGCTGTGCTGTATGAGACCCTCTCTCAAAGCAAACATGCCCACAAAGGGACCCCTCTCCTGCCACTTAGTGTCTAGAAAGGTTTGCATGAGGAACTGCATTCCTCCAGACACTTGTCTTCCCATCCATAAAATGGAAATAATACTGCCAGGCTCTCTTAGGGCTCCCGTGAGGGTAGAAGCGCTTTAAACAGCGGCTGCCTTAGAAAACACTCAGTCGATGGGAATTCTTAGCATTAGGATTCGTTACAGAAAGCCTTTGGCGAGCATGCACTCTTTCCCCGCCTTGCCAGCGGCTGTCAAGAACAACTAATGTCTCTTTTCTTAGGCAAGCTGCTTTCCTGCCACAAGGGAATGGAGGTGCCCAGCACCTAGCTGTCAACTTAGACTGTGCTCTTTTTACAGATGTAGTGATCCCTGAGAACCCCGAGGCCTATGTAAAACTCACAGAAAATGCAATCAGAAATACTTCTGGTAGGCATGAAGAATGGGCGTGAGCCTCCCACGCCGCCTTACAACCACCTCCCTCTCTCAGCATAGCTTCTCTCTGCCTCTCACAGCTTTGGGGCTCGAGCATGCCAAGACACAAACCCTCTCCTCTCTTCCTCTTGCGTTAGGAGAAAAAAAAAAAATCTGCTGGTTGATCAACACCAAGAATATGATCTCCATAACCAGGTCATGAAATAGCTCCTCGGCTTACCAAGTGCTAATCAGTGTCGTTACAGAGAGAACTCAATCAATGCCCAGGGACAGCTGAGAATATGAGGCAAAAGGTCTCACTGAGCCTGTGTGCTCTTCTCTCCCCCTTGGAGGAAGCGGGCATTAGCTGTGTGCAGCAGTGTGTGATCTGCTACTGGCTGGGCAAATGCCACTGGGCAGACCCTCCACCACAGCCTCTTGTGAGGGTGTGGACCCATTGCAGCGGATGGAACATTTCCTTTTCATTTAAAAAGTAGTACCTCCTCAGATGAGACATGCTCACCACAATATTGTAATCCTTAGCTGGCCATTTAGTAGAACTACTCTTGAAGGCAGGAGAGTTGAAAAGAGAAACCAGTTTTGCTCAAGGTTATGTGAGATCCTGTCCATACTTAAGCACACTGAAGGTCTGAGTCAGTGCTTGGGGTGTGTGTCAGGCCATCAACATGAGCAGGAGTCATAGTCTGGTTTATACCAGTCTGAAGTTTCTGAGGACCAACACAAGGACAGAAACCAAGCTACCTTTACAGAGACATTCTCAATGATTTCCAGCTAGTGGGCTCTCCTAGGTAGATTTAGGAATACATTTTATAAGGCTTAATTTATTCGTTGTTTCCACCCAGTCTTAGTGCTACTCAGGTGATCAGTGTCCTTGTTCAGCAATGACTGTAATAGGCATGCAGATACGTATCTGCAAACACACACACACACACACACACACACACACACACACACACACACAGGCACACTGTAAGTTGAAAGATCTTAAGAGATGAACTAGGACCCTAGGTAGTGAAGAAGAACATGCCTAAGGGAGAGACAGAAGCTTAGCTTGTCCCTGATCTAGTTTCAGATAGCCCATAAAAAGCAAAGTGTTCCTCTCTGCATGTCTATTCCGAGCTAGCCTTTTCTTGGTTAACTTGAATCCGTGCTCGAGTGATGCAACCAGGGATTTCAGTGGCATCTCTGGTATCTCTGAGGTGCAAATCTGAGAGTGAATGCTTCCCTGCTAACTAAGTGAGCGTGGGACACATCTGTTTCTTGGTGCCTGGAACATGGCTGGTATATCTTCAGGTTACTAGGAAGGCCTTCCACTGTGTCAAACACTCAGATGGTCATGGGACTGGCTGAAGGATGGAGCAGACAGTCAAGGCTGTTCGGGATCCACTGCAGAGTTCTCTACCAAGGCTAGGCTGCTGAGTCTCCTTAGAAAACACACTCACTTTCTTGGCCCCTTAAATGTCTAACCCTCTGGCAGGATAGCACTAAATCTGCTTTATGATTCTCCCAGCACACACCCTTTCTGCTTCGCCATAGCTGAAATGCTTTCTGAGACCTCTTGATTGAAAAGCTTGAACTAAGCGGTACATTGTGATCCATTAAAGACCCTTATGGTTGCCACCACAGGGGATCCCAGCTCATTGGAGTCACAGATGAGGCAGCTGGACAAAGCCCTGGGTGATGGCCGCTTCCAGATTCAACAAACTGCAAATATCCTCAGAAGCAAAACTCCCACAGGGCCAGACCTGGACACCAGCTACAAGGGCTATGTGAGTATTCCAACCAGTATGCTCTTGACCTGGACCTGGAGTATAACTCTGACCAAAAGCAGTCCATCTGTTTGCAGCATGAGGGCTCTGTGAGGTCTCAAGTACAGAGGTGCCCTTGAACTCATAGACATGGATATGAGAAACAGAACCCCATTGTTTGGAATTACTTTTTGAAAGAACCTGATCTGTTTGCAGACTTTGGAGTCCATTGTCATGACCAGCCTGTTGCTTTTCACTGGGCATTTAGTATGATCCATTTAGCTTAAGACAACAGAATCCTTTCCCTTCCAAAGATCACCAGGTGCCTGACCAAATTCAGCTAATAAATTTTGAAGCATAGTTATCCCCAGATTACTAACATGAGATTTTTGTTGCTGTTGTTTTTTTTTTCAGTTCGTTTAATGACCTTGGGAGTGTTTGTAATCTTCTGCTTTTAATCTGGGGAGATTTTGCAATGCTGGGAGCTGAACCGTGCATACATGCTGATGCTGAGCTACGTCCCAGCCTCACCTCCTGCACTGTGGGTGCCGCCTAGGGCAGACTGCAGGAGAAGGCAGCAAGGGATTACTTGTCTTAGCAGTTCTGTGTTTTCAATCGCTAGTGTATCCAGTACAATTTCTTTATTCTAGTCACAGACCGGCGAATGCTGTTGTCAGCGACATACCTATACCTAGTTTAAGCAAGGAATTTTCAAGTCAATCCCTCCCCTAGCTCTTGGTCAAAAGGAACAGACAGTTAATTCCTAGTGGTCTCATCACATCTCACAGGCTCTGTGTTTTGGAATCAAGGAGAAAGCTGTTTTAGCTGCACATGCTGTTACCCATACCCTCCCAGTCACTTCTCTAGCATGAAACCTCTTTTTAAAGTGCAGAACAAGGGCTGGAGATGCGGCTCAGTGGTAAAGTGTTTGCCTGGTGTGCTCAAGGACCTGGGTTCAATCTCCAGCACTGTATAAGATACACATCAAGTATAGCATAGCTTTATGATGACCGTGTTGACATCACTGAGATGGCACTTAACCTCAACCAAAAGTAGCAAAAAGTAACAAAGACACTGTGATTGTGAGAAACACAGAGAGCTAAGATTACACTCTACCCACAAGAATGTGTTGAGGTTTTTCTTCTGTTTCATTTTACCTTGTGTTATTTTTGTTTTTCCTTTATTTTGAGGCCGATTCTTGTTATATAGCCAGGCTGGTCTCCAGCTTCTGGTCTGTGTCTCTCTGCCCACTGAGTGCTAGGGTCACACCCACGTACCACCACACCCGGGATCACACTTACATGCCAGCATGCCTAGGGTCACACTTACAGGCCAGCATGCCTATCTATATTTTCTTCCTTTACTATTTGAATAATGAATTTTTCCTTGAGGTTTGAATTTAGTCCCTTGATGACTGTTAAACATGGCTATAAATTTTCTCGTAAAACAGCTGGCTTTCATATTGCTCCGAACTCTTAAATATTTCAGTTATTTAATGTAAAAGTTGCTCCCATGAGATATGAGGTATTATCAGTGTTTCTGCATTTAGGTTTGTGAAAGAGAAGGAAAAGACAGCTTGCCTTGCCAGCAGAGGACTCCAGACTTTACATTCTGGATCAGTTTGATCTGTTTAGGTTCATATAAAACAGTGGTTCCGAACCTTCCTAATGCTGCGACACTTCAATACAGTTCCTTGTGTTGTGGTGACCCCCCAGCCATAAAAGTATCTTCGTTGCTACCTCATAGCTGTAATTCTGCAACTGTTATGAATCATAATGTAAATATCTGTGTTTTCTGATGGTCTTAGTCGACCCCTGTGAAAGCTTCATTCTGCCCCCTTAGAGGTAGAGACCCACAGGTTGAGAACCGCTGACATAAAGGAAGTTTCAAGGTTTTCACATGTCTATCTTGCATGCAAAGTGTGTCTTTAAGGGTCTGCACATGCGTGTGTGTGCGCGTGCGTGCGTGCGTGCGTGCGTGCGTGCGTGCATGTGTGTGTGTGTGTGTGTGTGTTGGCACAGCATAGTTTTGAATTCTATTTACTTATTTATTTTTACTGGAGTGACACTGAGTAGTAAAACACAGCCCCTGCCCTGTTGAGGGACCATAAAGATCTGTCCCCAAAGCGCTTTGTACCTGTGGGGACTGTGGGGACTGTGAGGACTGTGGGGACTGTGGGGACTGTGGGGACTGTGAGGACTGTGGGGACTGTGAGGACTGTGGGGGCAGGGCTGATTTGGCGTGTGTTTAAACAGATGAAGCTGCTGGGTGAATGCAGCGGGAGCATAGATTCCGTGAGGAGGCTAGAGCACAAGCTGGCGGAGGAAGAGAGCGTTCCTGGCTTCGTTAACCTCAACAGCACCGAGACTCAGACAGCCGGTGAGCGATACACAAGATCCCAAATCACCGCGTCACACCAAGTTCCACCGAGCAGCTTAGCCTCCCTCTACACCAGTTTATCCCACGACAGAAAAGGGAGACAGAGTGTCACAGTGTGTCTTCTGCTCCATTTATTCAAATGTACAGTGTCAGTTTCTTGTCCCTCTGCAGTATTTTATCCCCTGACAGATGAGGGCAACAGAGTGTCATGGTGTGTCCTCTGCTCCATTTATCCAAATGCCCTGTCCGGTCTACATTGTCCGTGTCTTGTATATGTTTTCAGAGTACTCTGTAGAAAGAAGTCAAGGATGGATTGATCTCCTCATACACTGTTTATGTTTTTCATAACGCTTGTCACAGTGTTAAATTCTGTGTAGCAAATGTGCTTTACACCACTGTCATTAGAGACGCAGAGGAAAGCAGAGCCGTTGGACCCCTTTAGCCCTTACTACAGGTGGCAGCAGAAAAATGACCAGAGGTATTACTGTCCTTTCCGTCACCCTTTAAAGTTAGCCACCAGGTATCGCTGAAGTGTTTCCTAAACCTCACCGGGACAGAACTCCTGCTCACCATTCTGTGCCTGCCTTACCAGGTGTGATTGACCGCTGGGAGCTCCTCCAGGCCCAGGCACTGAGCAAGGAGTTGAGGACGAAGCAGAACCTTCAGAAATGGCAGCAGTTCAATTCAGACCTCAATAACATCTGGGCCTGGCTAGGTGAGACCGAGGAGGAACTGGACCGGCTCCGGCACCTGGCACTCAGCACCGACATCCACACCATCGAGTGTCACATAAAAAAGCTCAAGGTACCAGCTCTTGCCTTCCCTTTGACAGTTACACTCACTCATGGAGCCTTGGGAGACCCCGGTAGACCTGGGACTTCATTTTTCTTTCTTGATATCTCTATAGCTCCTGTGATTTTTGTCTGGAGGACATAAAAAAAAAACTTGTTTCTCCTCAGAAAGAAGCCTTCTGGGATAATAAGAGTGCTCCTTTTGTGTCCCTGTGGTTTTTAGTATTTACTATTCATTTTGTATTGATGTTATTGTGACTTTTCATGATCCTGTTGCTTTTCTTAGAACTTTCAGACACAGAAATGAATCTTCCTGCACACAAATCCCCATAGTAGCTCTTGGGGGTGCTCTCTGAGCCAGCCCCGTGAACCCCAGGACAAAGCACAAATGAGAGATGCAGTTTCCGGGAGCTGTATCTGAAATGCAGTCTTCTCTGGAGTTCCTAAAGCACTCTATCTAGGTAGCATTGAATTAAACCAGGTTCCTTTAAAAGAAGACATGCATTGTTGACCAGAATCTGAGACTTCAGTGAGATGAAGCAAGGAAGTAAGATCTTAGATGGCATCCTGTGTGGCAAGCAGAGACCTCCTGCCCTGCACTTTCCCCAAACCTCTATCAATAGATCCATTCTGTATTCTCTGTCAAGAGATCCATGGAGCAACCAAGGACTTTTCACAGCATCTCTTGATTTCTGATGTCTTTGAGGTAGCATCTGGTTGAGAACCTATAGTTAAAAAAAAAATTAAGTCGTTAGGAGCATGACAGAATTAATGAGAAATTGTAAGAAATTACCCTGTATAGTGTGGTTTCCAGAACTGCTCACCCAGAATGGCTCTTGGAGTGTTTACCAGCACATAGAGATTCAAAACTTACTACAGAACTCAGAACTCAAATTCTTGGTACTGAATTCCTGGTTTGTTTTGTTTCGTGCACAAAGCCAAAACTCAGTTGCGTTGCCTGAGCGGTTTTGTTTGTTGCTTATTTTGTTATCTTGTTTGCTCTTTGAAGTCAAACGAAATTGATTAAAGCTTGAAGTACTCAATTTCCTCACCATAGCAACAACATGGCCTATGACATAGTCAGTATTAACTTGTGGAACATGTAACAATATTAACTTGTGCCTGCATGTCAGGCCCCTAGAGCCCAATGAGCTTTTCACTTCCTTCTCCCACCCAGAGAAGTCTGAGTGCCACTGGCTTAGTGACATAAGACTATTACTCTTGAAAAGGTTTTTAAAAGCCAGCGTCATCCTTCTTCAAGCTATAGAGCTAAGTCCCTGTTTTGTTCTGTTTGTTTGTTTGTTTACTGTGTTGACTATTCCTGCATGGGGTTCAATTATTCAGACCCCTTCATTCATTGCACCGGTCATCATCACTCTCTGTGAGGCTCTTCTTGCCTCGAGAGGTCTTTTCCCCTTCCTGCTTCTTAATTCCCAATTCAGCAAAGCCCTAGCAAGCATCCTGAAAATGTGACACTTGGTCATTTTGTCATGTGAACTCTTGAAGTGTGTGTGTGTGTGTAGGGGGTGGTGTACATGGAATGCTAATGTGGTTCACATCACATCCTAGTTGCACCTTTTGAACCCTGCATTTTTTTTCATTCTAAGTGATATACACCCACCATCCCTTATCTGGCTGGCCATCCTGCAGAGGGTATTTTTTAATGTGTGTGTGTGTGTGTGTGTGTATGTATGTGCAGTGTGTCCCTCAAGGACAGGGACACCCTTGAGCTCATTCTGACAATGCCCTATGCTTTCTCTTTGTGACAGTCTGCAGATCAATAACTAGGCTACACTGACTGGGAGTCCCACAAGCCCCAGCCATCTTCCTGTCTCCACCCCCAGCTGGGGGGCTATAAGCATGCACCCCCACATCAGGCTTTTTTATGCGGCTTCTGGGGATTGAACTCAAGTTCTGCCTTTATCAACAGGGCTCTATCTCCAGCTCTGAGTAAAACATTTTCAAGGGCCTTGAAAGTGCTTTTGAGAATGTTTTCCGTGTTGTCTTTACTTGATGACTCTCTTTAGGAGCTCCAGAAAGCCGTGGACCACCGCAAAGCCATCATCCTCTCCATCAACCTCTGCAGCTCAGAGTTCACCCAGGGGGACAGTAAGGAGAGCCGCGACCTGCAGGATCGCTTATCCCAGATGAACGGGCGGTGGGACCGAGTGTGTTCCCTGCTGGAGGACTGGCGGGGCCTGCTTCAGGATGCCCTCATGCAGTGCCAGGTTGGTAGGGCTTTGGGCAGACCGGATACTGACGTTACAGTTGCTTGAAGGATGTGGCTGTTCTCCGGAGCCAGCGTTGGAAGGAGGTAGCTTTTCTTACCATTGCGGAGACCATCTGTCTAGATGAAAAGCCAATGCTCACCAAGTTGAGAGTCCTTCTTTGATGGATTTCATTTATTCATTCAAAACATATTGACCAACATTTCAGGCAGATAGGTTTTGCACAACAAGGCGAGCATTACAGATATTTATTCATCCATTCATGCCTGCATTTACTGAGCTCCCTCTGTGTGCCAGGTCAATCTCCCAGCAGTTAAGATACAGCCTAGCCTCTGCTTCTATTAAAAAGACAACAGCAACAGAATAGGCGAAACTGACAGGGTGGCCCAGGGGGTAAGGATGCCTGCCACCAACTTGGAATTCCTGTGGCAGAAGGAGAGAACTGGCCACCTGAAAGTTGTCCCCTGACTTCTACATGTGTGTCATGGCATAGAAATGCCCTCCTCCTCCTCCCCACACAAATAAATAAATACAATAAAACACTTAAGGTAAGGAAATAGTTATTCAAGGAATTTATAAACACGGGTATGAAAGTAGTGGAGAAAAATCATTCCAGGAGGAAGAGCCAAGAAGTCTTGTGGCTGTTTGACCAGTGGTGGGAGGATGTTGCTCTGAAGGAGTTCAACAGCTCAGAGGTCCATGAAGTATGCAAAGGTGTTGTCTTTCTAAGAGTAGTGGGAAGATGGCTGTGTGGCCAGATGATAGCCAGCAAGGTAGGGAGTCATCAGAAGAAGGGCAAGGGCCAGGGGCTCTGCCAGCATTCGGATTGTATGGGATAGGATAGGGCAGGGTGTGAAGCTTCCTGGGAAGTGGGTGTGCCTGCCACTGTGTGTGTGTGTGTGTCCCCCCCCCCCCCGCCGGTCTACTGCAGACAGTGCCTTATCCAGGAAGTGTGTAAGAAAATGAATGAAGGGGACGCAGGACTAAGCCTTGTTTTAACGTGGAAAAGATCTGAGCACACACAAGAGAGTTGTTTCTGTTCAGATCACCCATCAGTGCCACTGCTGTTTCGTTTCCCAGAAATTAAGTGTTTTAATGTCAGTGTGCTTCCTGTCTAAATGTCCCCACAAGGGATAATTCAGATGCTCTAGGTAAGAAGATGAACTCATGCCATGTCAGTTATAATAACAGCACCAGGGCTGCTGAGATCAGGCCAGAGCTACTCTACCTGCTAAAACAAGCAGGGGCCTTCCTCCGAGAGGGGTTGTGTCCTGGTCACTAGGGCGCTGTGTGTTTCCCGATGACAGCCATAAAAGGAATTGAAAGATATTCTAGGAAAATGTCGCATCCACAGTTATTTTGTGCTCTGTGTTTGTGTGATAGGATTTCCATGAAATGAGCCACGCTTTGCTTCTCATGCTGGAAAACATCGACAGAAGGAAAAATGAGATTGTCCCAATTGATTCTACCCTTGACCCAGAGATACTTCAGGACCGTCACAAACAACTCGTGGTGAGAATTCTAATTTTTTTTTTTTTAACAAAGATACATTGACAAGAAAAACTTTTGGCCAGGTGGTGGTGGCGCACACTTTTAATCCCAGCACTCGGGAGGCAGAGGCAGGCGGATCTCTGTGAGTTTGAGGCCAGCCTGGTCTACAAAGTGAGTTCCAGGAAAGGCACAAAGCTACACAGAGAAAACCTGACTGAGAAAAAAGAAAGAAAGAAAGAAGGAAAGCAAAAGAGAGAAAGAAAGAAAGAAAGAAAGAAAGAAAGAAAGAAAGAAAGAAAGAAAGAAAGAAAGAAAGAAAGAAAGAAAAGGAAAGGAAGGAAGGAAGGAAGGAAGGAGAGGGAGGGAGGAAGGAGAGGGAGGGAGGAAGGAAGGAAGGAAGGAAAGAAAGAAAGAAAGAAAGAAAGAAAGAAAGAAAGAAAGAAAGAAAGAAAGAAAGAAAGAAAGAAAGAAACTTTTGCATGCTCTTAACTTATGCTCTACCTAAAGTCTCTAATTTAATTCTGTAGGGTTTCCAGTCATGAAGCAAATATGTATAAATCACACCTGCCAACATGATTACCCATTGCTCAATTGTGCTAATCTTAAGTGTTCTTTATCTCAGTTACCTTGTGTCTATCAAAGTAGCCTTTTTAGTGAATTATACTTACTTTTAATCCAAACTTTGTTTGCTCCATCTGTAGCCTTGAAATGTAGGTGTGGGTTTCTTGTAGCTAGAGTTTTCCGCCTTGCCCACAGTCAGGACAAATCTTTGTCACCCACCAGTCCCACAGCCGCTCAGACCCAACTAAGTAAACACAGAGACTTATATTGCTTACAAACTGTATGGCCGTGGCAGGCTTCTTGCTAACTGTTCTTATAACTTAAATTAATCCATTTCCATAAATCTATATCTTGCCACGTGGCTGGTGGCTTACCAGCGTCTTCACATGCTGCTGGTGATGGCGGCGGCTGCAGTGTCTCTCCGCCTCAGCCTTCTGCTTCCCAGAATTCTCCTCTCTCCTTGTCCCACCTACTTCCTGCCTGGCCACTGGCCAATCAGTGTTTTATTTATTGACCAATCAGAGCAACAGATTTGACATACAGACCATCCCACAGCAGTTTCTTCTCCTGTTGCTGTAATAAAATACTCAGACAAAAGCAACTGAGGAGAGAAAAGCATTCCTGGTCCATAAGTCAAAGATACAGTCCATCATGGCAGGGAGGTCGAAGCAGCAGGAGGCCGAAGCAGCTGGCCACATGGCATCCACAGCCAGGAAGCGGAGAGATGAATGGATGGATGGATGCTAGCACCCAGCTCTGGTTCTCCTCTTATGCAATCTAAGATCCCCTCCCCAGGGAATGGTCCCTCTCGCTATTAAGATGGGTCATCACAAACCAGTGAATTCAGTCAAGATAATCCCCTGCAGGGATGGACAGAGACCTGTGTCCCAGGTGGTTCTAGACTCTCAAGTTGTCAGTTAACACTAACTACCACCATGTATCTAGTGCCTTATGGGAAGACGGAAATTAAAGCTACTTAGATGAGGAGAAACAATGAAGTGGATTCAAGAGGAATTAAATATGCTGGGTGGGACACAAATCTGGTAGCAAGTTTGCAGAAAGCCATGACACAATTTACCGTCGTTATCTTACAAAACCAAGACATATCTGCTCCTTAGAAGCTTTTTCTGGCACTAAATTCAACCAGAAATATGCCGTGCAAATTCATACACAGGGCTGTTGAGACAGTTTAACATACAGTGTAGCCGGGTAATTCTTATAGATGATAAGGAAGCAGACTTGAGTTCCATCAGGAGAACGTACTTTGTATCTGATCTGTCTCCATGGTCACACAATGCTATGTCATAGCATTTAGCACTCAATAACCTGAACTAGTGAATTGGTAGCTTTCAATTCACTACTGGAGGGAATCTTTGAAACCAATCGTGGTACTCTTTTGTTTCTACTCAACCTTGACCTCTGGTAGATACCTGTGAATGATGACTCACTGAAGAGCATTTTAAAAGATTTAGCTGGATCTCAGAATATTCTAGACACATTTGAGTTTTGTTCTACCTAGATTATAACACTTTATTTTTCTAACAGATTATCTTAGATCCCATTTGCATAGGACTTTCCTTTGTATCTTCACATCCCTTACTCAGTTTAATTTTCTCTTTAATTTTTACTGTAAACCATGTGTTCAGTGAGAACCCCAAGCTTAGAGGGACTTAGAGATCTTTCAGAACATACTGTGTTATAGCAAGGTTGGCATGGAATCTCCACATCACATGCTGTGAGCTGCAGTCCTATTTGGAGGCTGAATGTCATGGGACGTTCGGACACTATGGCCCACATGGGCAACTTCCTCTAAGTGCCAAAACTTCTTAAAGAAATATCTCCTATTATGTACATAGCAAATAAAGCAGGAGCTGCTGAAATCCCAGCTCAGAGTGGCCTCACTGCAAGACATGTCTCGCCAACTCTTAGTGAATGCCGAAGGTTCAGATTGTCTAGAAGCCAAAGAAAAAGTCCATGTTATTGGAAACCGGCTCAAACTTCTCTTGAAGGAAGTCAGCCATCATATCAAGGATCTGGAGAAGTTATTGGACATGTCAAGCAGTCAGCAGGTAAGCCCTCTGAGACACTGTGGCATCACGTCTCCCACAGAGCCTGAAGCACCGTATCTCCACCTGCTGTGGAGAGACTCGGATGGACCACTTGTCAGACCCGAGTGGCCGCTCTCCATCACCACTGCTTCAAGAGCTGTCTCGAAATACAAAAGCAGACTTGTAAACTTTTGTAACAGGACGGTGCTTTTGATTCTGTGAAACCCAAGAGATCTCTTCAACCTGCTAGTGTCAACCCTGTTGCTGTGACTACTGTGGCATTTTATTTCAACTGTTTATTTTTTTTTTTTT